TATTATACGGGACGAAATTTGGCAACGTCGGAATGCTCGTAGGGTGTTTTTCCTTTTAGCGCGGGAGAACTGGCGCGTCGCGTCGCTTCGGGGCGCACGAGGCGACGCTGGGGCCCCAGTCCCGAATCCGAGAGCTAAACCGTGCCAGACCGATTTACCGCGGTGGCCCGCTCGGATTCCAAAATTATATCCCTTGAGCCATGCCAAGGCGCGACGGTCCGAGTTTTGGTCCCACTCGGCTGAGCCATAAATGTCACTTGTCAGGACCCGTATCACCAATTTTTCTCCTCTTCGTACGCGCATATTCCGGTCACCGAAATTCTGGGACGTGGAAACTAGAGCATCCGCGGACAGGAATAAGTGCGAGGGCGCCGAGGAAGGGAGCCCGGGTCATCCTGCTTTCATCGTTCCACGGCTCGCTTTGAAACCTCTCCGCGGAGCTGCCGGGATCTCTGTTTAATTAACACCACCGTGTTATTTCGTGGCCACCTGAGAATACACTCCCGAGAGCTTCGCCGTTTTTCTTCCTCGGCAAAAATAGCTGCTCAAACTATACTTGGAATCCAACCAGATTCAGCCTGACTGCATTTCAGATTGCTTAATACCTCCATTTGATGGCGAAGGAACACTATCACCTATCTACTAGCTGAAAATTAAGGAGGACAAAGAAAAAATTCCCCATTTTTGTGATTTTGTCTGTGAAGAGGTGTTCTGTTACCCATTGATCGAATGTCTTTCGATGCGATTGATTAATTGATTGTTAAAATTTATCGATTCGACTTCCTACCAATTAATTAAAAATTAAAAAGGTTGGTAAATTGTCAGGTCAGATTACTGAAACTAAGCACAAAACCTCGAAAAATTTCAGCTCACAACTCAAAAACGCTGATGTCTTACGGAGAGACAGGATTTTAGGATCCAGAGTGCGGAAATAATAGTGCCAAAATTTGCTATGTCATCATAAAAAACGCTCGGCACACGTGATTTATGATTTTCAGATTCAGCACAAATACTGATCAACATCTGGGAACCAGAGATTCAAAATGAAAATTCAATGATTTTCCGAGTGTTGCGCACAGAATCAGCTACAGTTATCAAAGAATTTATTGGGAATCATTGAAATTCGACTCAGTATTAAATATTATTTTCAAACTTTAGATTTTACTGTTTCTATGAAAATTTAAAGAAATCGAATTAATTTTTTTCCGTCTTATGCGTTGAGTTAACAGGATTGTAATGGGTCAATCGAACATTTTCCACGTAAAATTTTGATCAGGGTACATGGTGTGATTCTCCATTTCGTTCCCTGCATGTCTAGTGGTCCATTCTGTGACTAGGGTAACTGGGAGGGTATAGATTCGATCGACATGAATCGATCGAAAAATAAAAACATGAACCGATCGACACCAATTCGGTCGATGGAAATTGGACACGAAAAAATTTTCAGCTAATGATTTCCGGGAGAAAATTCTCACTGAACCAACCTAGATCTCTTGAAAGTGACAGGAAGCCCCTTTAAAATGACAGAGATACCGTTTGAGACAAACAGATTTCCTGTTGACTCACGGAAATCCTCGTCCGGGGACTATTGGTTGGAATTGCTATTAATTCAACAGACATTTTTCTCCATGGATTTATTCCCAGTCCTGTTTTAGGTGGCGTGGCCACCCCGGACCAATCCTAAAAAACGCCCCCTAAAAAGTTGACGACCAAAAAAAAAAACGAAATTAGTCAATTCACGGGTTCGTCGATCAATTCACGGTTGTCAATCGGATGTTTGTCGATTGAATCGCGACGATCCGTTCACTTCTTTTCCGATCGCTTCATGTCGATCGAATCCATACCCTCCGCCCATCTAACTGGTGCATGAAAATGTAGAATCAATTTCGGAGTCTTGGAACTGAGTTACGTTCCTTGGTCTGGGAAACGACGAGTAGTGAGAATATTCCAGGTGGAAAATTGCGGAGGGTTGAGGGGTTTAATGCTGCGTGGACGGCGGCGGCCGAAGAGGTACGGGCTACGGGGGCGGCGGGCACTCGACTCCAGCCCAAGGCGTAGGGCGCAGACTCGGCATAACGCCCATGGCGGCGGCCGCTGCTGCCCGGTCCCCGTCCCCAGACCCCGGTCTCCTCATCATCCGCAACTCGGAATTGTCGGCTCCGGGTCGCTATTCGAAGCCTCCTCCATCACGTCATGACGTCAATCCGGAATCCTGCCTCACATACTTCATACAGACGGCCGCTGGTGAGCCTTGCCCACACGTCGGCCAGAGAACTCGGTTAAAAATGCCCGCGTGTTCTGGGCTCCTTCAGAAATACTTCGAGGATACTACTGCCTAGAGTCCCTTTATACTGAGAGTCAAGACAACACCCCTCATGGAGTCACAAACGGGAATAAAGATTACACAAATTGAACGTTTTTCGTAATCTTTGATCGGCTCATTCTTAAATTCCTTTCTCCGTTCCTTCTCTCATTCCGTTTGTTCCTTGTCGAACCCGAAATTCCTCGGTCCATTCCAGATTATAATCTTTGCAATTGGTGAAAATGTAATCTTTATTCCCGTTTGTGACACTGTGAAGGCCTAATATCCGGTTAGCCAATCAGAAATGGATTCGCATTGTCTTGACTCTCAGTATAAAGGGACTCTACTACTGCCATGCTAAGGAAAAACGCCGCACAGTGGATCGAGCCGATCAGAGAGGTTGGACAGAATTTGGAAACTTTAAACGCTTAAAACTCCGTTTATACAAACCTTTGAGGTTTTGAAAGTGGTTCCATAGGCTTCTCGGAAAGTGTTTTTCCAGAGGCACTCATTAAAATGTATAATGTGACGAAATAAACATAAAAATTTGCAGTTATAGTCAAAAATTTCGTGTCCGACCTCTCTAATTGACTCGATCCACTGTGCGCCGTTGCAAAATTTTGATTGAGAAAACACGAGTTCCCTGACAAACTTATGATTCTTTTTCTTCCAATTTTCCAAATATGTTACCCGCAATTTCACCTAAAATTCCTGAGAGTTCAAAGGAAAAATAGTCATGACTTTCCGCAAAAACAAACATTTTATCGAATGAAATTTGGCAATTTTCGAATATGCATAAGGCGTTCTTCCTTAGAACGGCAGACTATTCATCCGGTCGGATCGACGCACACGAGAGAGATTTGACGCCGGCTGAATCGATAAAATTGAGATATTCCTTATGACCTTATGTGGTCGATGAATTTTTAAAATCGAGATTTTTAAGTGCCAGTATCGAGAGAAGAGGGCTGAAAATTGTTTTTTTCCGAATAGGCGGGACTGAAATTGCCTCTTCAGTCGATAGTACTATTAAGGTAATTGTTAGTTGAATGCATGTGATTATAAGAATTCAAGGGCCGTTGACACAATACATTATCAGGTACAGAGGAGGTCAAGGGGGAAAAAGTCTAGGACTACCAGACAAATCTCTTGAAAGGAGGGTAAGAGAGGGAGAGGGGACCTAACGAAAAGGTAGGGTATAAACATCGAAAACGTGCCTAACGTCATGAATTTATGGTCTCTCATACTTTCATCGCGCTGCTTTTAATCGAGAGAAAAATATCATGAAAGTAAATCACTTGATGTGAACATAATATGCGTGGTGACGCCATTTAGAAGACCCTTGCACCGACGTCGTAATTATTTCATAAAGGAGATAAAATGTTGTAGGAAATAAACATGCAGGGCCTCTCTTGAGAAGTAAATAGCGGAGTGTAACAACACCCTGTACATAGGTGTTGATGTCGCGGAGAACTTAACTCTGCCAAGTGCCCGTGCCCTTGTCCTCAGCATTCAGAACTTACGATGGGGAACTAAAATTAACCGGTGGCTCGAAAACGACCTGCGAACACCTAGAGCAGACAATGCGGAGAAACAATTGCGCGCCTCTCAATAATGGCAGTCGCTTTCTCATACTCCTCCTTATGAGCACCATATCAAAAAAGAGTTGTCGTGCCTTTTTACCGGTAAAAAAAAATGCCGTCTCTTAGCCAACATTTTGAACTTAAAAGAGTTGGAAATAGCTTAGATGGCCTAAGTAATGTATTTTTGGTGAGGACGTCATCTTCCCTCCGCATAAATAACAGTTGCACTCATTTTTTTCAAAAAGGACATAAGTGATGCTTTATTTTTGTTTACACGACTGTACCTACGTCAAAAAAAGGACGTGCCTAAAAGGACGAATTTTTTTCAGATAAAGTTCGCAGTAATCCATTGAAGATGACCAATACAAGACCCTCCCTCTCAGAAAGGGACCCATCTTAGAAGTTATTTTGGCTATGGAAATTCCGATAGTACTCTGATATTAATCGAAAAGCTGAGTTTTATCTGCCCAACTTATTCAATCACACAAACAAGAATGCCTAAAGAAGATACCTTACAAGACTTCATCAACACATCATTAAGATTACGTGAGACTAGCCACCGGATTTTTTTCAGAAAATAACGGAAATAGCTTGAAAAGAGTTAAAACATTTTATTTATTTTTTTTTTGGGGGGGGGGAGGAGGGGAGGGCTTGATCCCTTCTCCTCTTAGAAATCGCAGTACCAGGCTTGGACCTCCCTCCCCCGTAAAGAGCTTACGTGACACTTAAACTGCCACTAAGGTCCTGTAAGCGCGGACCCACCGCGGGAAGTGTCTGTGAGGCGCAGTCCGCCCCTGGTTTTTTCTCTGACACTTCCATTCTTTGATCTTTTCTCTTTCCCTCTATCCTATTAGGTATGCTGGGCTCTGATTCACGAAATAAGACGCCTTTAGACAGGAATTGAAAGTAGCAATTATTTTTTTTTGGCCAGCTTCAAATAGCCCCCATTATAGCTCATCTTACGCTTACCACCAGCCCTAAGTGACCATTGTCTGAGACCATCAAACTCAGGTGACCTGCCCTGAGCCAGGGACCTCTTGGTTATAGGGCCAGCGCTACAACCACTATACCACGGAAGAAAAAAGAAACTTTGATAAAAGAACGTTAGAGTGACGTACCTTTGAATCCTCTTGGCCTTCCCTCTCCATGCGGAGGAGCTCGATCTCGTCGACCTCGGTGACGGGCTCGTTGAGGGCGGGCATGGTGTCGGAGGCGCCGACCCGGTTGCGCCTCTGCTTCATGCAGCCGACCTGCCCGGCCGGCGGCTCATGGTGGTTCATCTCGTGCACGGTCAGGCTCTGCTTGATGTCGGCCGTGAAGTTGCACAGCCAGCACTTGAAGGCCCCGTCGCCCTGGTGGTTCTTCATGTGCCGGTCCAGGTTCCATTTGTACGGGGTGCGGAAATCGCAGAGCTCGCACTTGATCATCGGCATCGAGTGGTACTTGACGTGCTTCGTGAAGCGGGCCTTCATGTGCGTCACGTAGTTGCACTTGACGCACCGGAAGAATTTCTTCTTCAGGTGCACGATCTTCTCGTGCCGGGTCACCAGGATCTGGCTCCGGCTGGAGAAGGAGCAGAGCGAGCACTTGAACAACTTCTCGCCGTCGACTGTCACTTCCGTCTCCATCTTCTCACCGGGCTCCTCTTCCGGTTCGCCCTCCTCGACTGCCATCGGCTTCTTCTCTTCCTCCACGTAGGGGCTCGTCACGAGGGTGATGGGTGCTTGCCGTCGCGGCGACACCTTCTTGGCGATCTTCTTTCGACCGGCCCCCATGACGTGGACCATGTGCACGTGTCGCTGGAGCTTCTGGCTATGCTTCGAGGCGTAAAGGCAATTGGGGCACTCGTAAATCTTGATCTTCTCCTTGTGTACATTCTTCAGGTGGAAGAGGTAGAAGCGGGGATTCTGGGTGTAGTAGTTGCAGTGCGTGCACGTGTAGTTGCGCTTGATCTTGCACTGTGGTAACTCTTTGTTGCTCTCGTCGTCCTTCTCTGTCTCGTGGTCGGGTTCTGCGTCGGCGTCCGCGTCGCCTTCTCCGTCCGGCTCGCCGTCGTCCACGGGGGACATGGACCGATCCTCCGTCCCGACGCCCGTCCCGAAGAGGGACTCACCGCTCACGACCGAGCGCACGACTAACGTGTCTCCGGAGAACTGCACCATCGACGGCGCGTTCATCCTCCCGCCGCTATTCTGCGCTCTGAAACAAGAAAAATACCGCCAGTTAGTCCGATTAAATGCAAATTAGAATTCAAATCATACACAAGGGGCCGCTTTCACAACGCTCTTTGACGCTCTGCGACACCCAGTTGCCACAGTGCACTATCTCCCCCTCCCATAATCTTCCCGTCAATTCTTCTAGGACCCCCTGTCGCTATTCTCCTACTGAGGCGTCCCTTTCATCTCCTCACGGACACAATTCACATCAGCGCTGTAAATTTGACCAGATATGCAGAGTTTCCATCATTTCTGGCGAACTTCGGCAGCCAGAACCAAAAATCTCGGCTCTGGCTGCCGAGTTTTTCTGGGAGCTGACATTGCCGAATTTTTATTACCGTGAGGAAGAATGAGGGGTCATTCATAAAATACGTAATGCTCTATACGGAGGGGGGAGCGTACCCCGCTGCAGCACGTCGTAGCACTAAAATGGCCGCCTAGCGCTGGTTTTCCGCAAACCTAAGATGATTAATCAACGCGAGGTGGCAATTTTACGTCCGCAATTCCTTTAAAAAACAAATCTGAGAGGAAAATGTCGAACTGATCATAATGAAATTTTTTCACGGGGNGGGGGGGGGGGGCACAGACCTCTCTTACAAGTGCAGTGCGGGGGAGAGGGAGGGAAGTAAAAAAAATCGAATTTCAGCGTCACGCATTTTATGTTCAGGGTGTGTGCACTTTTTCTTTGAAAAAAACAGTCGGATAATTCTATTATTTCCATGAAAAATGTGCAACGAAAGCTTTGTTCATCGGCAATTTTTAGGAAAGAAGTCCATGGGATCTCCGCAAAATTCTCGATTTTTCAGAACACGAAAGTGCAAGCTCGATGGTTCTATAAAAAACTCCATATTTGACGCGTTTTTCCTGAGTCCCAGAATGTTTTACTGGATTTTCCGTCGCCAAAGCAAACCCTTGATTATTATTTCCGGTATGGTCGCGTTTTCGGTGCTTGACAACCTGCATTTTTTGTTACTGTCGCGTAGAATAAAAATACGGGGTTTTTCACAGTATCCACTTGTCCTCTAACACCAGATTGCAACTTTGCTGTTCGATTCATGAGCAGTCTTCGAAAATCTAAAACTGGAGCTAAGTCCTTGCCATTTTTTCAAAATTTGATGAAAGCTCAAGTCCATTTTCCCAAAAACTGGCATGCCACAGGTATAATGAGCTTGAAATTACGCAAGGCTGGGAAAACCTGGCATATTTTCGCGAGTTCCCACGTTCCCCTCCTCCCCGAAGCGTTCTGGGATTCGCGAGGCAGGTGCTGCGGACGAGCCACGCGCACGCAAGCGGCAAGCTTCATGTGCATGGAGCTAAAGCTCCGTGATTTATGGCCAGTTTTCGGTTATAGGTAATCGTCGGTTGGAGCTCGGCGCTCGGCGCTTTCACCTTGAAAATTCAACAGGTTCTTCAACAGTTATTGTTCGCCGGCTGGACCTGGGCTCGATAGGCGACAATATTCATAAGCAGTTATGTACAAGTTCCGACCTTGGTACAAGAATATTCAGAATCAGCCCGTCCTAATTAGTCGCCCGCTTGCAGTATTGAAATGTGTCCAGGCGGTTGGGTCGCTCAGCCTGCGGCCAGCACTCATGCACTCGCAGGACCTACGGCTTTTTACTCATGGGCATAGCTGGGGGGATCCTGGGGGGCCTATACCTCCACCAGAAGACTGCCACCCAGAAAATGTGTAATCACATGTCGCCGCTCAATACCAGTGGATCACCGTGAAGGATAAATAAGCCCTCGCCTAGAACGTCCTAGAACTGATCCTCACTGAAGGGATTTCGTTCTTCAACTTGCAATCTGCTGAAAGATATGCGTCGTTAAATGCCGAAACCGTGGGTACAACCAAAGATAGCGGGGGATCTGCCACTTTCAGAAATCTACTTGACCTTCGAGAAAATTCAAGGAACTCTATGTAATAAACACGTGGCATTTTCATCATTTTTGAAAATTATTTTTTTTAGGAAGAACTGATTAACATAGCTCATTAGACGTCTCAATTTTCAACATGTTTTGGGGAAGTCCTCTCAAATAAGGAGGTCTCCCAGATCCACTTTGGTGGGGTATTTATCTCCACTCCCCAAACCCCCCTTTGATGAGGTACCCTACTGTCTCTTTGCAAATCTTGATTCTATCCATGGCAGAAATCTGCCCTGGCTTAGGGCTGAAATTCGTGTCGCCCAGGTTTCTGAAACTCCAGCGCATTTTCACAAGAATTCATAGAATCTCTCCAATGTAGTATACAAACATATAGCTGTGAACATGGGCCCGAAAGTCGAAAATGACCAATTTTCAAGGTTCTCTCAAGTTTAATATTCTTGTTCTTCGATCTGCAGAGCGTAAAAGAATATCAGTCATTTTTGCGATTTTTGAACTCTCTTTTGCTACGCAAAAACATGTCCAGTGTACTGCAGCCCTATAAGTTAACTTGTACTCTGGTCGAAACATGGCATCTAACTCGAATAAACTTGAAGTAGGGTCATTTTTGCATTCTGACAATGTTGCATTTTGGCAATATATCTAGCTGGATATCTCCGACCAAAACCAATTATTTTCGATGAATATTTGTATTTATCCTGAAGTTAAATAATTTATGCAGTTCCAGGAATCTATATGATAGGGCCCGTTCTGACCCTTAACTAAAGCCTTTATTGAAAAAACGAATGCAGTGCGCTGAAAGCTGTACTCCTGCGCTTCATTAGAGAAAAATAAATTCCTTCGAGATTCCTTGATTCTGTTAATTATTAAGCTCGTAATGTTGGCATCATTCAAGTCATGATAGTACCGTGCACACCCCCTTTCTGCCACCTTCAATTTAAATGATTCTCGTAAGCTTATATGCCTCCCTCCCCGGCAGCCCTCACCAATCAGTGCGTTGGCAGCTTTCTTTCTCATTGAGTGGAAAAGATGCTCTGGTTTTTGTTTAAATCTGATTTTTGAAACAGATGACTCTCATAAAATAATAGAAAAATCCGAGACTAGTCAACTTAAGACCGATCCTACAACAGTCACTCGAATAATTGAAACATTTTCCGGAAAAACTAGATGCATTCAAAATTAAAATTCTTCAAATTTCATTTGTGAATTTCATAAATGACTTTCATTAGAAACTACAATTTCTGGTATATCGGTAAGAAAAAAAAAAAAAAAAAAAAAAAAAAAAAAAAAAAAAAAACATACGTCTACAGGGAAACTTAAGGTGCATGCGTTGTTTTTAAACCGAGCCAGAAATTTTAGCTCCTAATTGCAAAATGTGCGGTCAAGTCGTACTTATAGAAATTTGAACTGCATTTTGCAATTTGGAACTATAAATTCTGGCTCTTTTGGAAAAACACTCACGTGCATAGGGAAACTAATGGCACGTACGTTGTTTTTAAACCGGGCTAGAATTTATAGTTGCAAATTGCAAAATGTAGTCCATTTATATTTGGGTGGGGGGGGAGGGGGCAAAGTTTGGCCAGGGTGTACGCTTTTTGGGGGCCATGGTCGATTCGGCCCATTGGCGCCTTCGGGTTTAGAATACTGCAACCTAGCAGCAGCGTCTGAGGGATGCAAAGCGGAGACTTGCGCTAGGCCTCGAAGCCTTGCAAGTTTTAGGAAGAAGAACATATTTAATACGCGACGGAAGAAAATAGGTGATGCGGGGCTGTTGAGGACGAGGAGACACCATACGCCCTGCACCAAGCACCAAGCACCAGGCATCGGAGGATAGCGGCAACCGGTCCCCGGTCGGGGTCTAGGAGGACGACAATGGGGCCGAGGTCGACGTCGCGTCGCTCAAGAAGCAGAAACAGCTGCTGCTGCCCTCTTCTGCTTCTCTAGATGGCCATCCGCGGTCTGCCACCTGCTATTCTTGGCGCTCCGACTCCGACCCACCTCCAAAGCGAGACATCTGATACTCATCCGTCCTCCGGGCTGCTGCGGGCTGTGGGTGTCCGTCCACGAACCCACCACACATCCCAGCCCGGCTCCCGAAGAAAAAAAAAAGAAAAAAAACCCAAGCTCTAGAGTTTACATTACAGCGGCTGGCTGCTGGCTGGCTGGTTAAACTGTTTTATTTTTAAAAGTGCGTCGCGGTGGGGGCTCACTGACGTAGTGTGCATCCGTCAGCTTGGGCGTTTTCTTGCCAACTTCTTTTTGGTCCGTGCCAACCATCCTCAGGAAGATGACTTGCGTGCGAGTCCGCCCACCTCGCCGACGGCAATTTTTGAGCCATGTTGTCGCGGCAGGATTGTATCAGCCTCGCGGAAACTTAGCTTTCGTCCTTTTTGCGTATAGCTGGTATGTGTTCGTGATACATGAGGCCTTACGTAACGGCGTGCGTACTGCATGAAAAAATCGCGTTTCGTACGAGGTGCATCAGGGTTATAGCCTGACAGCAGAAGCTTATTTCATGGGTTAAATTAAGACTATTTCCTACTGCAAAGTTTATTCCAAAGGTGGTTCCAAAGTTGGAAATGGGGAGCCCCCATGATAATCGGTGCGAAATTTACTTAAAGCTTAAAAATTAGTACTGGGGATTATCCACAAAGATCACTGAAAACACGAAGATTACGATTAAACGTATTTATGCTGAAAGGAACTATACGGATAGGATTTGCGTGCAACATAGTTCCGTTTAGTTTAAATACGTCCTATTGCTATCACTCACCTTTCAAACATCGCGCAAAACTAATATGCGTGATAAAACTATTTTAGCTCCGGAGCCGCTCAAATTGCGTCCATCGAATTGAAGGCGAACTTAATTTCTCACTAAGTACCGTTTTCAATAATTCAGATATGAGCGCGAGGGTGGGGCAATAATCTAGCTTTAGCAACTTATCTTCATGTCAATATCATGTATGTAAAGTAACGGTACATATCGACGGTGAAACTACCAAACCACGTATCTCGGTTTGCGACGTCGCAGACTTCCTGTCATACTTTATTTTTTAAATGGAAAACTACTTAACGTGTAGTCTTGAAAATTTCCGTGAT